TGAATGGTTGAACGAATGACTGAATATGGAGCTTGAATAATGAGAAAATGGCAGGAATGATGCATTTCGGTTCATCGATGGGGTCACCAGAAAACCTTCCAGGAGCTGCAGGATCGGACAGTGAGGAGAGGCGGGGACCTCAGGCACTCTGGGGGCTGCTCAGTGTCGGAAAGAACATCAGTGATCAACTCCAGGACATTCCTAAGTTCCCAGGAGGTAGGAAAGGGTGATAATGTAGTGACTTGGTCTTGAGCAGATGCAGGGGTGCTGCAAGGTGCATTACTCAGGGCCTGAGCACTGAAGCTCTCTTTATGGAGTTCAATTTTTTTTAAGATTTTGTTTATTTATTCATGAGAAACACAGAGAGGAGAGAGAGAAGCAGAGACACAGGCAGAGGGAGAAGCAGGCTCCATGCAGGGAGCCTGATGCAGGACTCGATCCCAGGACCCCAGGTTCATGCCCTGGGCTGAAGGCAGCTCTAAACCGCTGAGCCACCTGGGCTGCCCTCACTTTTTATTTTAATAAGTGGAAATCTTTAATGCTTGTGGGGGGCAGTTCACATCCCTGGGGGCTGCTCATTGTTCTCATAACTGAGGCTTAGCTCCAAGACAGGTTGAGTCTGATGGGGGCAAGGGGAGGGTGGGCATTTCCCTTCCTCCTGGCCTGGTTTACAAGGTGGGGAAAGAATGGCTGTTCCCAGTGTTGTGTACACATCAGGTGCTCAGTAAAAGTCTGGTAAACGGATGGCGCCCTCCCTGCAGCTGGTGCAGCACCCTGGCTTATACAGTAGGATATTTAAGGAACACGTGGTCTTAGGTATCCATTTGCCCCCTAGTTGCTCGCGGACGTTTGAAATTTGTTTGGTAGGCGTACAGGTAGTGGTGAGGGATAAAGCTTCAAGAGTGGGCCCTCGCCGTGGACTGGGGCCCCCAGTGGCTGGGGCTCCCACAGGGTGTGTAGCAGCTTTCAGGGATGAGCTGGGAAAAAGAAAAAAACAGGGATGGGGGAGTGGGTGGGGGGTAGGCGGTGTAGTGTCCTGAGAAGGTAGGGTCCAGTTGAATTTCTAACTAACCTAGCTGGCCGTGGCCCAGCAAGAAACTGAGGACAGTAGTATGTAACTATGGCTGCATAAGAACGTCCTCTCCTGGTGCTCGGTGAGTGCAGACATGACCCCGCACCAGCCTCATGGTGCAAAAGGGCAGCCGGTACGCAAGCCCCTTTGACGCAGCGAGCTCCTTGCTTCTTGCAAGCCACGTGGACCACTGGACCGTGAGCCTGTATCTTAGGAGTGAGGTGGTGCTGGGGGCCTGTGTGTGCCCCTTGTAGCCTCATCTCGTGTTCATTCTTGGCACTGCTTGTTCACCGGCTCCATGGTTCCCGAGGGAGCACTCCCTTGAGCCCCGTCTGAGGTGCGGTGCTCACCGGCCTTCCAGCCAAACCCAGCCCTTGTGGATCTGGCCCAGTTCAAACCCATGCCCGGAAAACCCAGAATCAGCCCCCTGTGGCTACATTTTTGAAAGACCAGCTTTCCCTAGAAAAGATGACCTTGATTATTTTATTAGTGCATTAAATATGTGTATGAAGGACATGCGTGGGGACAGGGGGATATATGGGAAATCTCTTTACCTTTTTCTCAGTTTTGCTGTGAACTTGAAATGGCTCTAAAAAATAAAGTCTATTAAAAAATGTGCATGAAGGTAAATGACTTTCTGGAGTATAAATTGAGTTTAATCCCCACTCTGCCCCAACTCACTGTGTGACCTTGGGACAAATCGCCCGTTCGTTATGACAGTGCTTAGTGTTGGAAGCAGAGGCTGTGAGTGAACAGACCCGAGTCTGAATTTTGTCTTCCGTCTCCCGGATCCAATGCCCTGGGCAGGTCTTGTTATTGTGTGTGTTTTAAATTCTCTAATCCTCTTAACTTCCTTAAGTGTAAAATGGAGGTGGTGATAGTGTCTGCTCACAGGACTGTAGGGCCATGTAAGCGTGTCATAGTAAAAGTAGCAAACATGTCATTGCAACTGGTGTGTTTGTGTGTATTGTCCACCCAACTGGTGTGTTTGTGTGTTTGCTTTGCTTGTGCTGCTCCTGTTAATCCTTAGGACAGGCTGATACCATCATCTCTCCCGTTTTACAGATGACAAAACTAAAGGATGTGGGGGGAGTAGCTTTCCCAAAGCCAAAAGGCAGCTCCTGAGCAGTGGATCTGGGACTTAGGGCAAAGCCCCTCTGCCAAGGGCCTGGCCCAGAGAAATTCTCAGTGGCAGGTTCCTTCTCCGTGGAAGGAAGGGGTTGGGACTGATGAACATAGAAAGATCTAGATCATCGTAATCCTCAATCCTCTCCTCCCGCCCCATGTCCACACACGTAATGGATGTTCTCTGTATGCCGGGCCTGTGGCGAGCACAGAATCTGTTGAGGAACTAGCCTGCCTAGTTCCAAAGTACTGTATTTATTTACCTATTTATTCATGAGAAACAGAGAGAGAGAGAGAGAGAGAGAGAGAGAGAGATACAGGCAGAAGGAGAAGCAGGCTCCCTGCATGGAGCCTGATGTGGGACTCGATCCCAGGACCCTGGGATCACACCCTGAGGTGAAGGCAGATGCTCAGCCACTGAGCCACCCAGGGGTCCCTCCAAAGTACTTTAAAATACGTAACCAACCACTCTTTAAGATACATATTCTATTGTCTTTTATTTTACAATGATACATATTGATTATTGAAAATACAGGTTGAAGAAGAAAGATTACTCATAATCCCATTACTCAGATTAAAAAACCACTCTTCAGAGGCACCTGGGTGGTTCAGCTGGTTGAGTGTCTGGTCCCAGGGTCCCAGGATGGAGCCCCGGATCGGGCTCCTTGCTCAGCAGGAAGTCGGCTTCTTTCTCCCTCTCCCTCTGCCCGTCCCTCTGCTTGTTCTCTATCCCCCTCAAATAAATAAAAATAAATAAATAAAAACCACTGTTCAGTATTTTGTTGTAGAATCTTCAAGATTCTTCCCCTATACAGACATATTTGAAACAAAAATGGACACTTAGGGTATATCTTGTTTTGTATAACTCCCCCCCCCCCGATCAATATATAATGGATATCTATTCACAATCTTTTCTCCCCTCACTCATTTTTTTTTAAAATTTTTAAATTTTTTATTTATTTATGATAGTCACAGAGAGAGAGAGAGAGGCAGAGACATAGGCAGAGGGAGAAGCAGGCTCCATGCACCGGGAGCCCAATGTGGGATTCGATCCCGGGTCTCCAGGATCGCGCCCTGGGCCAAAGGCAGGCGCCAAACCGCTGCGCCACCCAGGGATCCCTCCCCTCACTCATTTTTAATGGTGATTTAGTTGTCCATTGTACGGATATTCTGTGATTTATTTAACCCATCCCCCATTGTGGGATGCTTAGGTTCATTCTAAGAAGTCACGATGTCGTTGAGAAGACAATCAAGCCTCTTGAAAACAGTTTCATAAATACACAGTTGGAACTTGCCAGGTGCAGAGTGACGGAGAAGCAGTAGAAGTTCTAGAGGGAGGGCATGAGCCGGGGAGCAGGGGTAGGGAATGTGGGAGCCAGGCCTTCAGGGAGAGGCTGGATTTCACCTGTGAAGAGAATGCATTCTTTTTTTTTTTTTTTTTTAAGATTTTATTTATTCATGAGAGAGACAGAGGGAGAGAGAGGCAGAGACACAGGCAGAGGGAGAAGCAGGCTCCATGCAGGGAGCCTGACGTGGAACTCGATCCCGGGTCTCCAGGAACACATTCTGGGCCAAAGGCAGGCCCTAAACCACTGAGCCACCCGGGCATCCCAAGAGAATGCATTCTAAGGTAGGGTCTGACGCCAGCAAAGGTGCAGAGCGTGGGGGTGGGGGTAGGTGTTTAGTCCTCAGGAGAACTCCTGTAGGAGAATAGCTCTGGAGAAGGCTGGAGAAGGAGGCAGAGGCCTTAAGTGCAAGTCCAACAAGAATGAATTTCAACTCTTGGCCAATGGGGAGCCACAGAGAGTTCTTGCTCGTGGCTGACATGAGTAGGTTCTGTGTCACTCATCGTGCAAGCCACTGGGGAGGGGATAGACCTGCAGGAGATGGTCTCCAAGGCAGGAAGATTTGTTAGAAGGCGGGGACAAGTCAGGAGAGGTGATGAGGCCTGAATCCCAGCAGCAACGAGATGAAGGGAATGGAGTGGATGTGCGTGGTTGCAGAGGGGTGGAGGGAGGACCCCCCCCCAAGGGTGCCAGGCTCCTGGCTCGCTGAGAGGGGTGCCTGCTGCCTCACACCTGCCATCCAGGGGAGAGTTAATGGGTGCCTGTGGGCGGGCTCATGGGGCCTCCAGGGAGGCTGACTCATGAGAGCATCTGAGCCAGTTATTACAAATGCTGCAGAGAGAGAGAGAGAGAGAGAGAGAGAGAGAGAGAAAATAAAAAACAGAGCAGTGGGAATTATCTGTGATCGAGAAGTTCCAGGCTGGCCTCCCATTTCAGATAGGCGGCCTTAGAGGGAGGGACCTGCTGCGTGGGGGGAGCAGGAGGGGCCCAGCGGAGGCAGTGACATTTCCAGGGCGAACTTGGCCACGTCTTCCCTGCAGGGTGCAGCTGGAGAGGGCTGGGTCTTTCCCAGAACAGCCCGGCTTTTCCAGTGCCACCCAGGGCACGCTCAGGGCGGGGCTGGGCTGCAATGCCGGCCCCAGGGAGGAGGCCAGGATGCGAGCTCTGCTTCTGTTTATTTAGACACCCGCCCAAGTCTTGAGCCTTCTGTTGCTTCCTTGGATATTTAGATTCCTTTTTTTTTTTTTTAAAGATTTTATTTATTTGATAGAGAGTGCAGAAGCAGAGGGAACAGCAGGCATCGAGAAAGGGAGAAGCGGGCTCTCTGCTGAGCAGGGAGCCTGTTGTGGGGCTCGATCCCAGGCCCCTGGGGTCCTGACCTGAGCCAAAGGCAGACGCTTGACTGACTGCGCCACCCAGGTGCCCTGGATATTTAGATTCTTAACATGTAGCAGCCGACTTCGTTTGCTGGAAGAGAGAAGCACAGAGGGTGGCCTCCATACCCAGGTCGATGGGGACACTTTCCCTGGAGGGAGCACAGGTATACCTGAGGGGCTGCGTGCCCCCCCTCCTAGGTGTGGGCTCCTGGGGGCTCTTCCCGTGGGGGTGGCCGAGCAAGTGCTGACCAGGGCTGATTGGGGCCCATTCTCACCTTGCCTCGCTGTGACACTTGGCTGTATGGTTCCCCAGTTAGGGTCTTGGGGGTCTCACGCAGGTCCCTCGCTCGCCTGTAGGCAGATGACTGCATCTCGTGTTGTTTCTGGTGTTTTCTGGCTCATAGTTCCTAGACGGGCATTTTTCCTCCAAGCCTGAGTTTGGGTGATCAAAGCCCTAAGCTCTTCCTGGTCATCAGAGCACAGGCCTTTCTCCCAGGAATATAAAACTTTGGGGGCCCCTGGGTGGCTCAGTGGTTGAGCATCTGCTTCTGGCTCAGGGCGTGATCCTGGGGTCCTGGGATCGAGTCCTGCATCGGGCTCCTTGCAGGGAGCCTGCTTCTCCCTCTGCTTGTGTCTCTGCCTCTCTCTCTCTCTCTCTCTCTCTCTCTCTCTGTGTGTGTGTGTGTGTGTCTCTCCTGAATAAATAAATAAAATCTTTAAAAAAAAAACCCATAAAAAAAAAAAACAAAAAAGAAAAAAAAACCCACTTCGCCCAGGTTAAACCTGCTGCTCTAATCCAGATCCCCAAGGACAGAGTCTGTTCTCAGGGATGGGTGTTTTGTGCCACCTATCCCTTTGGGGTTCTAGCTGGGGGTCGGTTCATGTGAGCCCTGATGTTGTATGGTGGCCAAATAAGCTGCATCAATAAGATGTGGCACCGGGTGTGGGGGAGACGAGGCTGTCCTCTGCTGGGGCCTGGGTAGGTCATAGTGTGGCAAGGACCCCACAGCTCAGCCTCACGGGCCACAGGCAGCTCCCTCTCATTTTCATATTGAGGCCACCCCTGTGGCTGACTTCCTGCTTTGGGGCCGAGGCTCCCAGCCACCAACCCACACGCTAGCAACGGGAGGCCGGCCTGAGACCAGGGCTGGTCAGTCAGGTGTGGTGGTTCGGATGGAAGGCTTCCCCATCCCCGAGGGCCTGGAAAGGCTCCCTCCAAGCCTGGGGACCCAGAGGTGGACCCTGCAGAGGGTCCACGGGCTCCTGGTGACACTGGAGGTTGTGCTCAGAGCCTGTGTGGAGGCTGCAGGGAGGAAGCATTTCCCAGGGAGGACACCCCTCTCTCTTTGATCTGAACTCTCTCCTTGAAGAGAGTCAACATGTGTTTGTGGAGCATCGGCTGTGAGCCAGACACGGTGCTGAGGACCGGAACAGAGGCACACGACGTGTGTCTGGTTATGCCGATGTGGGGCCCACCATGCAGGAGCAAGTCAGGACCCAAGATGCCGAACAATGAAATAAATGCACATTGTTCTTAGTGCTTTGAAGGCAAATCCCGGGGTCCCCTAAGACAGGAGAACTCTGTCTTGGGCATTCTCCGAATGGAGTCAGGAAGACTTTGGGATGGGAGGGTGATGGTGAGACCCAAGGATGATGGGAGGTACCCAGGCAAAGCCTCACAGAGACGAAGAGCATTGATGATGGTACACAGGCATGCAGGTACCCAAGGAAGGTCGGGGGGTGGGTGGCACGAGGCAAAGAGGACATAGCAGGCTGGACTGAGCTCAGCAAGTATGCCAAGGCCGGGGAGCAGGAGGAGTGCTGCAGGGAGCAGGTGACAGAGGGACACCATCAGGATGGATTTCCTTCTCCAAAGTGCTGGGGCTCAGTGCTTGCTATCTGAGCAGCTACGAATTCAGATGACTCGTGTAGGACAAAGAGCATCAGTGACAATCGTCTTTCCTGGAGACGATCCCCTGGAGTCAGCTTCCTTGGACTCAAGGAAGTCCCCAGACCTGCAGGAAAACTTCGCACAGTCCTGAGCAGCAGGCAGCGGCTCTGGTGTCCTGAGCTGCATTGTGTCCCTGCCACCCCAGCTCACGGCCATCGAGGAGCTGTGAATGCAGCCTTATCTGGAAATCGGGTCTTTGTTGATGTGATCAAGTTAAGATGCGGTCGTGCTGGAGTAGGGTGGGTCCTAATCCCACATCCTTATAAGAAAAAGGAAGTTTGAGCACAGACATGCACACGGAGAGGAAGGCCACGTGAAGATGGACACCGTGGTTGAGATTAAGCCGCCACGAGCCAAGGAAGGCCAGCAGCCACCAGAGGCCGGGAGAGTGGCCTGGAGCAGAGCCTTCCCTAGAGGGTTCAGAAGCGGTGTGACCCTGCCAACACCTTGATTTTGGACTTCTAGCCTCTAGAGTTGTGAGAAAAACATGTTTCCCTTGTGGTAAGGAACCTTGTTTGTGGTTCTCTGCGATGGCAGCCCCAGGAAACTAATACCCCTGACCTAGGAAGGGGAGCCCAGGGCACTAAACTCTCCTATGTCCTGGGCCACCAACATCCCTCATCTTGTTTAGAAGTGTAGTTGGAGTTCCCACCACAATCTCCATTTTACAGAAGAAGAGCTGGACAGCCAGGCAGGTGACTGACCTACCGGAACGTTCACAGAGACACGATGACAAGTCTGGGATTTGAGCCCGGGTCCCTCTTGGTGCTCCTCTTTCTGTCCTGACTTGCAAGGAAGTCTTTGGATTGTTTGCAACCTTTTTACAAAATGCAGTAAGGGGGCGGGGTGATGATGAGGAATAAGGGCTCTACGGAGGTGCACTCGGTTGACACCCCCGGCCTGGCATTTGTTCTAAAATTCTCTAAAAGAAAAAAAAAAATAACCCAAGTTGTGGGGATGGGGAAAGGTGAAATGAAACAGCAGGTTGTTGGTAACTGTTGAAGCTGGGTGATGGGCCACGGGGGTTCATTATTGTCTTTACTTTTTTCTATGTTTGAAAACTTCTGTGGTAAAAATTAAAAAAAGTAAAGTCACAGAGAGCCAAGATAAAAAAGAAAATTGAAGGAAAAAATAAAGAATGAGTGCTCTAGAATCAGAGTCCAGGGTTCGAATCTCAGCTTTATTAGCTGTGTGACCTTGGACAAGTTACCTAACCACACTGAACCTTGGTTTCCTCTGACTAATGGAGGTCTCACTACATCCAACCTCATGGGGGTGGTGGAAGAATTAAAAGGCAGAATCAAAGTGCTTAGTCCAGGGTGGGGGCCACGGGGGCATTCTGGAAATACTTGCATTGTTATGATTACGGCACAGGCACCCCACACCAGCCCCAAATCAGGACCTGCTGCTTTATCAGTGAAATGGGGATGAGGAAGTTGAGGGATTTGCTCAAGATCCTTTAGCTGGTTAGTGACAGAGACAGGTCGGGTCCAGAAATCTCTTCCTGAAATAGCTGTTGTTTCCTTTATGCCCAGAGCTGCCCAGAGAACTGCTATCTTGGGGGTGCTTTGGGCTTTTCCCCCAAGGAGGCCGGCTTTCTGTCCCCTTGGTTTAGGAATGAGCCACTGAAGGAAGGAAGACGAAGCCACCAGTGGCTGACCCTGGTGAGTTCTGGTCACTCTGTGTTTGCTCAGCTGCAAAGTGCAGGTGGCAGGAGTGACGCTGTGGGCCTGGCTGATGTTTTCAAAGGTGACAGCCTTGTGGTAATGGATGGTCACTGGGGGCCGTTGCTTCATGCACGTTGTTGGTTTAAGGATGACAAAGATCTGACATGCTTGCCACGGCAGAAACCAGAGCAAAACAAAGGAAGCCCATGCTGGAAAGGGCCTGGCCTCCTCTGGCTCTGGGATAGTTTGGCTCTGATGGTTCCCAAAAAGCTGTGTCCTGGGTCCTTCTCCAGCCCTCCGCTGCCTGGCCAGAATCCTGGCATCCTGGAGTGCTGAGGTCAGCCAGGGTGGAGGAAGTGCCCCACGGCACCTTGCCAGTCCAGGCGTGGGCCAGGAAAGGAGCCAGGAGGAGAGCCCAGCAGGGGCTCAGGGAACAGGGGAGCAGAGGCTGCACCCGAGCCGTCCGAGGGCCTCTGCCTCCCAAGAGGACATGCCTGCAGAGCGTGGTGGGGGCCAGTGACCCCTAGTCTGGGTCACCCGCAGAAGAGGGTGCAGGGCGGCATAGGCTGAGAAGAGGAGGTGCAGGGGTCCTGCGGGGTGGTGGGGGCCCGGGGGGGTAATAGGAGAAGCAGGCCCTGGCGTCAGAGGCCTGGGTGTGAATTCAGGACTTTGGCAGGAAACAGAATTCATTCCAGATGGTTCTAATGAAGAGCCCACTGCAGCATGTGGGCCATGTTAGGGGAACACACAAGAGGCGATGAGCACCGGTGGGACATCATGACCCCTCCTGGGGGCTGAAGGGAGCAGGAGCCCCTGAGAGCCGGTCACACGGGGGAGGCAGGGGAAGCAGCCGGAGCAGGAGGGCAATGGGGGCAGCACCCACCTGCTCTCCCCTCTCCCCTCCCAGCTGGCAAAGGAGGGGCTGCTGCAGCCAGCAGGGGCCAGCTCCCAGCTGGGCAGGGCGGGGAGGGCGAGGCACGGGGTGGGGGAGTACAGATGGAGCCTAACCAGCACCCCTCACTTCTTCCCCGCAGTGGGGGCCGATCAGACTTGCCCATAGGCTGGGGAGGGGGATCAGGGATGAGAAGCATGAAGCCCCCGGCACAGGCCCTGGCATGTGACGGCCTGACAGATGCAGCTCCAAACTCTGTGTCTCTCACACACACTCCACATTCCTCAACTCTCTGAATGGCTGTCACAGGGAAGAAGGAGCAGACACGTTCCAGGAGGGCCAAGGGAAGCCTGAGGACAAATTGTGTAGCTGTCAGAACCGTGGCTCCCAGACCAGGCCCGCTCCAGAGGCACCGGCCCAGTCACAGAAGATGCTGGGCTGTTGAACCTTCGCTACTGCCCACTGTCCCGCGCACGGGCACCTCTGATCCCCCCAATCTCTTGGGGGCCACGGATTGTTGCTTCCCGGTATTGTCGCTGAGGCCGCTGGCCTTGGGGGGGGGCGTGGTGTGAGGCCGCTGGACTCCGGGGGGGTGAGGCCGCTGGCCTCTGGGGGGTGAGGCTGCTGACCTCTGCGGGGGTGAGGCTGCTGGCC